GATAATTGAAATTAACAAGAATGTATACTGTATTGTATTAACAAGATTACAATCCAGTATTATCATGTGAGCAAAATAAAGCAATTATTTGATTGGCTAATTTACCCATGAAAAATCTGCAGTGTTTGATGGGGTGAAGCTTTTTTTTTCTTTTTTTGTCTCACGTGTGACTGAGGTGAAATTATAATCAGACAACTGCATATTACTGTAATCGATGCTTGCCACCAGACATGGAAAAAGTGTTTATTGTTCCTCGGATCCTGAATTTGCCTTTTTTCAAATGCTCCTCAAACCTGGGTAAAAACAATGGGAAAGTTGACCGTACATTACGCCAATTTGAACATTGAACAACATAACTCAATAAGTCATGAGTAAATTAGCCAACCATATTGCTTTATTTTGCTCACATTTTAACACTGGATACCTGGTAAAGTATATTGATGTAGTGATTCATTCGTATGAGATTTCATTTCAAATCCTCCAATTTGGAATGGACTAGATTTCAAGTCCTCGCATTTTGATTTCCCTCATAGTCGGATTTTTAAGGATCCATGCAGAATCTCGAGATGCCATTTACTCACAGAATTGACTCTGCGTGTATTTTTGTCTAGGATCTGGACTGGTCATTCTGCAACGTCAGCGATTCAGAAGATACGAACGAAAACATTGAAGACACGTGAACATTTCTCAAAGTAGAACCTCCGTTAAACGGCTTATTATTAATTAACTTCTTATTAAAGTGCCTATGTCACTTGTGGGCCCTTTATGGATTTGAAAAGAGCGTAAAAAAATAGTTAATAAGTTCAAAAGTTGTTTTTTTTATTTAGTGCAATAATTTCGAAGATACATGTCTCTAAACTACCTACAGTTCCTGAGTCCCAGGCTCCTATGCACAATGGACAGTTTCGAAAAAGACCAAATTCAATAGCCGTGTTTAGACCCCAGGAGGCTGGGACTCAGGAACAGTCCGTTGTCTCAAGGTTAGTTTCAACTCAGGAAAATTATCCGTGGATTGGAACGGACAAGAAAATGTTTCTTTATGTTAAAGTCATTAGTTCCAACCCAGAGCTCACAAGACAAAGAAACATTTTCTTGTCCGTTCAATCCACGGATAATTTTCCTGAGTGGAAACTAGCCTTAAAGGCTTATATCCTCAAAACTATTGCACTGAATAAAAAAAAGCTTTTGAACTTATTAACTAACTTTTCACGCTCTTTTCAAATCCATGAAGGTCCCACAAGTGATATAGGCACTTTAACGGAACGCGAGGTCTGTACAGAGAAATATCGGACTTTTTTGAGGTCTTTTTTGTACAAACAAGAAATGCATGATTTGAAATGCATATTAGTAGCGTGGTACACGTTTAGTCGAAGAAAACAAAAAAATACCAGTGTATTCCTTCTTTTCCACTAAAAACCATTCGCAGATATCTTATTGATAACAAATTAAATTATATGACTGGTTGATTATGACAATGACAAAAGACGTAATTGACTTACATTAACAAAAGGAATATTGTTCTTGTTTCATTCTTTAGAAAATCCATCCTATAGCTTATTCTTTTGTCATTGTCATAATCAACCAATCACAGAACATCTTCCTAGAGCTTCGTGCCGATCCCAGCCAATCACAGTCCGCCATTTCACCGAAAGTGATGCTTGCCATATAATAATAACATTGTAAATGCTTAATAGAGGTGGCCGCTAATAGTAGAGATACGCCAAAATTCGACTTTCACTGAGGCAGTAGGAGGGGAATAAATCACCATATTAGAAAGCAATTCTATTTTGCCTTCATCTTGTCCCGTTAAGGCTAGTAAGTACATTTCTGCTAACACGTTTTTCTTCGATTTTCCTAGTAAACTCCAATATTGTTAAAAACGTGAAATTTCAGGTTTATTTATAGAAAAACTAACTTGTATCATTAGAAAGCTTACAAAGAACTACATATAAGACATGTAAACGTTACCTTTTCAAGCGGTGTAATTCGAGTCACTCAGTCACTACTCTTCCAAGGTGTGAAAAATAGGCCGAAAACTCGCAACAATCCTGAGCTAGTCTGAAAACACGTTTCCAAAAGCTCATAATTCAAGAAGAATTTGAAAATCAAGGTAACCGCTTAAATTACTTATATGTAGTTTTTTTGTACGCTTTATATGCTAATGTAAGCTCTAATGATGCAAGTTAGTTTTTCCTAAACTTGCCAAAAACTAACTCGTTAGTGTCGGTAAACGAGAAACGCTTTTTCAATCAGTTGGTAGAAGTCTTGGGTGTGAAAATGGATTCGCAGCCTCGTACCCAGGACTCTGGGTACGAGGTTGAGGGATTCGAAGCGAAATAAAAAGTACGAGTGTAGTTCTATCGCTAAAATATATTTTAACGCAACACGAAATAAAGATATGTCATGTAGGCAAGTGAAATAATCTCATCCCAATATTCGTTTAAAGTTTAGTGTTGGTTCATGCATACATGCGTTAGAAATTGTGGTTAGGGACGGATCATTATTTAGGGGGGTGGCACCGAAGAGAAAAGGGTTGGGTAAACAAAATTTTGGTTGAGTAAAAGGTTGGGTAAATGGAAAACAAAACTCAAGGGTTGGGTTATAAAAATTTACCTTCATCTCCAAAGCATGACGCATTCAAGTATTGAAGACTAAAAAGCAATCAACAGTCATATGTCAATACAATATGTAAATCAATCAGAATCGCTATCTCGATCATTTTTCGATTTGTCCAAAGCATTTTTAACTATAACTACTGGGACATTTACCCCAGTAGGTCCGAGTTAGCTTGTCCCAGTAGTGAAGCAATACTGTTTCAGATGAGCTGGGCCCTTTTGATCATCAGTAAAACGTCATCCCTGTTGGAAAAGCTGCATGCATCTGCCTGCTTTCTCATATCCTCTCACATTCTCGATATTCCATCTTATAAACGTCAGCACAGCATGGTCTTTATGTATGCGTAACTGTGTGGGGAAAAGGCCCTCATTGAGACTTAGCCCAAGTAGTTGTAATTTCTTAAAAAATGCCATCGATTTGTCAGGTCAGTGTGACGACTGTGCGGTATCCTTTTGAAAAGGTTTTGGCCAGGGATGGGTATTTATTTTTAAAATTTATATTTGAGGTTGGGTAAAAAATGTTTTTACTTTTCAATGACAATGATTGGATCAGCAAAATTTTTACCAAGAAAAACATGTCTAGGTCTTTAGGTCCCGCAATAAATAATGATCAGTACCTTCCCTATGACTGTACCGTTTAATAGAATTCCATACATATCCAATATTACGATATGCAACGAATGGTAAAAATGTTTTAACCATCGGTAAATACGAATACCGATTCGTCACCTGCAGTGCCAAAAGAAACATGATCTCATTATTAGGATGTTTACCGATGGTGGTTCACGGATGGTTAACTTACTTTCACGATCCGTAACCCTTACCTATCTTACCAACGGTACCACTGGTACCATTCGACATTATTTTAAGGGTACCCCAACTGCCATGGCCCTTGGTTCACGGATGGTAAACTTAGTTTCACGATCCGTAATCATATCTTACCAACGGTACCACTGGTAAGGATGCACTGTACAATGGATACAAATCGACAACAATACCGATGGTAGATGGTGGATTTATGAAATTTACCATCCGTATCGCATCGTGGTATTGGACCATGTTCTTTAATAGAGATCAAATACAATAGATAAAACCAATTGGGTCTTACTTCTTCGGAGATGACCGCTTAATCGAGGGCTATCTTATAGTACTTGTACTGGGAATATTTTCGAACTTTAATATGCCGGGCTGTACCTGAAAAATGTGCAACAATATTTGTTTGATAGCATTTTCTGTTACAAGTTGCCAACTGACATTTTCATAGAGTATATGCATTTATAATACCAGAACAAGACCAGACATATTGGCAACTCTGATTTTGGCTTTAATTTTATATATAGGTAAAAATTTGAGAATGTTGCCTATGAAAAGTACAATGATGTGAAAAATGCGCGCAAAGTTTCAAGTTCACTTTTAATTTAACAAAAATAAACTACACCATTGGAGTATATTCAATATTTGAGTGAGTCATGCTTTGGAAATGAAAATATTTTTTTATACCCAACCCTTGAGTTATTTTGTTTTTCATTTATCTAACTTTTTACTCACTCAAAATTTTGTTTATGGCTTTTATGTAGATGGAATTTCGAGCGGGAGATTAATTATATTAGAATGTTAGGGTTTGTAATGCAATCATTTATACCTAACCAGGAGGAATATCGAAAAATGCGACTATCAGCCAGAGGCCAGTGGCGTAACTACTATGGGCTCAGACCGGGTGAACCCGGGGGCCCCCAACCCAAATGGGGGCCCCCAGGCTTACGCGATTGGGCAAAAACATTGGCCAGGCCTCTGATATGTTACAATGTCGTTTTATGACCATCAGAATTCTGTAAAATCTCTCCCCAAAGTCCAGGAAATGGCATTTCAGAGAGTCTAGATTCAAAAATTTTCCGGATGACCATGCCCTAGACCTCCTAGAAAACTCGTGCATATACGGCGCTCGACTCGTGCCTTTGGCACTTCTACCAGGGGGGCCGAAAATTTTGAACTGGGGGCCCCTTGATATAACGTTACGCCACTGCCAGAGGCTTCGGAGCGGCTCTAAAAGTGGGGGGACACACTTAGCGCCTGCCGAAGACGAGTGACGTTCTAGGGGATACAGGGGCATGACCCTTGGAAAATTTTGAAACTAGAGTCTCTGAAATGCCATTTCCTGAACTTTAGAAGAAGATTTACAGAGTTCTAAAGGTAACAAAATGTCATATAATATCTGAAATTGTTTTGTCTACACGCGTAACTGAAATAATATCAATTAACTTCATGGTTTATTATTGACCATTGTTAAAAAGTGGGGGCCCAAAGACATTTAGGGTCCTCCAACTGAAAAAGGGCCTCCCCCCGCCCGCTTCCGACGCCCCTGCTATCAACCCTCTGAAACCGAACCTGCGTCTCTGCGATTCCAGTGCAGCGCTCTAACCAACTGAGAGTTCCAAGCTTAAAGCCTGGTTCACATATATGCCTGCGACGTACCGGCGACGATGCCGGTGGTAGCTTAAAACGTAAATTATGTGAATATTTGTTCGCCGATTGCCTCCAGTGCCACAGTTACATCGGCGGTAGGCCGGGAAAGTTGACTTGAGTTCAACTTTGCCGGTATTTCGGCGGCAAGTAGAGGCATAATGAATTAATGATACAATCGCAGGCATACCGTAGGCATATGTGAACCAGGCTTAATTTTCTCTTATGACTATTGGAAGCACCAAACATAAAATTTTTGCCTCGTCAGCAGAGGAAGTTCCCAGAATACTTTGCGATGCCAGCTGAAGCTCATCAGCAGGAGTGGCCGCTAAGCTAATACGAAAAAAAAAATACATTTTTGACTCTGCGAGATAGACATCCACCAAGGTTGGTAAAAATATGGCGTGATTTTGACCATTTTTGAAAGCATTTCTGGCCTTAAGACTTTCTCGGTAGAAAAACAATAACCTCTTTTATGTACTACATTCGATAGATCTTGTGAAAACCAGCGCGAAGTTGAATTATCGTCGGAATTTATCATGGACTGCAGCGATTTGGAGGTTGGTTGGTCGAGTTGTCATATTAAAATATGTGATGTAAACCTGTATTTTGGCGCGTTTAATTCGAACAAGGAATTAACCAAACGTTTATTTGGTGTTTTTAAATAGTGTCCTTTGTGTATGGAGCCTTTGGAGATAGACGACGTTAATTTTTATCCATGTACGTGTGGTTATCAGGTAAGTCGAAATTTGTATTTTGTATAGCTATTTGTATCAAGTATAAATAGTCTAAATAATCTTCCGATTTGAATATTTTTAGTCGGATATAGGAAGTCTCGGCATTGTTTTGTTATTTTTTAAAGTTATTTTAAATGTTTGTTGTCCTGTTAAAGCGTTTTGAAGAGTAAATGGTATTTTATGGTTGATATTAAAACATGGTAGTTGTATTTATATAAAATTTGGACGTGTATAAAATTATGACGCAATGTCAAAAATGTATTTATTTTATAGTATTGTCGAAAATCTGTTAGGATATTACCAACAACATGCCAAAATAGTTCACATATTTTGCTAAAATATAACTTTGGTTGTTATTCATGTGCCGAACCTAATCAAATTAAGTACAGGATGTCAGACTTGTACTGCCAAAATATGAGTTACACTATACATCAGAAATTTCAATGCTAAATTGCTGACATATCATAATCATACAGTATGATTATGTATGTAAAAGAAAAGTTACGCATTAGGTTCTGTGCATGAAAAGCACAGCGTCTAAACCCATGTTGAACCTGTGTTGCATAATACGACATGACTTGCCTAAAGTTTTTCATGTCGAACCTAGTCAAAACTTGTCAAACTTAGTTGATATAGATGCCGCTTAATCCTGTCGTACTTTATCAGCATATTAGGTTCGCCACATGAGAAGCTCACCCTATAAGCAGGGCCTTAGGGTACATTGCAACGTAATGGTTAACTAGGCACACAGCAGATAATTTGATTAACCCATAGATTGAGCACCAGCATTCTTCCTTGACGAGCAAAGTCGTAGTTTTGCGTTAGAGTGAAGTGGGGCACATCGGACACAATGCAACTTAATGGATTATTTGGTTGTTTTCATGCAGATATGTAGATTTTGTTGGCACAGAATAAGGACAGATGAGAATGGACTTTGTCCAGCTTGTAGAAAGGTAATACAAAAAGAAATCAAAGTACTCTGTACTTATACCCCAACAGAGGAAGTTTCTGCCATCCAGAGGCAGAGAAGATCTGGCATGATTTGTTAGAGGGGGTGGGGGTTTTCCAGAAGGAGTGCTAGTTACTACAGTCATCTGGGGGCATTTCCCCCCAGAAAATGTTTGAAAGCCTGAAATGCCATTTCCTGCATTCTAAGCACTACGTTTATTTGTTAAATTTGCCCTCACAGTGCTTGTATTTCATGCAAAATTTAGAAAGTGCTATGTTATATGGTGACCCACCGTATTGGTGCTTGAATATTTTTTCACATATTTTTTCATTTGAAAATTATCAATCGTTTAGGGTGAGGCGAAAAAAAAAGATGTTTTTGAAAACCAAAATACTCGTAACTTGATGTTACTTTTGGAGAATAACCCAGAAAAGAACAAAAAAAACTGGAAAAAATGAAGGGGAAACGAAGAAAAATCAGTATTTTACTAAAATCTAACCATACTTATATGATTTTGTTGCAAATGAATTAAGTTTTGGCATTTACACACGAAAAACTAAAGAGATTTTGTTTGTAATTTGATATAAACGTCTTCAAAATATCAGTTTAATATCATTCTACAGTTTTGTGCGAGCTTGAAGTCTTGAACAGATAAGCGATTAAGCAGATCAAACGATGGTGAATTTTGATTTGCTAGTAACTAAGGCGGACGTCTGCGAAGACAGGTCTAGGACCAGTTTCGATTTTCGAACATATTTTTTTAAAAAGTGTTTTTGTAGAAACCACCTCATGCTACAATCATTTCAATATGATTAGTAGTATTCACAACTCAAATATGGTTTGCCAGAGTTTTCTTCAAGGGGGTCAGGTGCTACAACAGCTAGACATCTAGTGTATTAGGACATACAAAGGGGGTAGAGGGAGGTTAGCTTCATAACCTGGAATGACCCATTTTACGTGGAGCCAAATTTACAAAATTAAATACAATCTTATAATGAAATTTGTAATTTTAGCTTTATACAGAAGACCCAGCGTCATACAAACCACCTTCGCAAGATGAGTAAGTAGCAAAAATATCAGCATGTCTTGCCTGGAACAGTGCTCACTCAAAATATGTGATGCAAAATGTCCTTTGCATGCACATATATTTGGGCGTGCATCTTTTTCTTCAAATCAAGAAAAATACATGCTTCTTGAAAGTATATCACCTTGCCAAAGAGCCCTGGGTTTCATGATTGAGAGTTTGAGCTTTTAACTAATGTTCCATGCACGGCAAACTTATACCCATAGTTTGTGGCTGTAAAGTATGCCTGTTTTGGCGTACCTGTCCTTACAGCCAGGTTAAACTGCAACATTTGGCTATCGGTACATATACATGCAGTACGCTGTAGTTTCATGAGCAGTAGCCTACCTCAGCTATATCCTAATACGTATGTAAGTTCAACCATTGTTTAAAAATAAAAAAAACTATCAATGCCATGAAGAAGAAATGTTTATTGGAAATTTCTCTTCTCATTGTAATCTGTGTTTATCCCATTGATGCCTTCTTAATAACAGCTATCCCTTTGACAAGAACCTTACTGCAACTAAGATTAGAGCTTGGTCTGCTAATTGTCCAAGAAAAAACTGTACAAAAAAACCCCCAATAATTCTGATACTCTCATAATTGCATAAATTATTTCCTTTGACTTGGTAAAAATATTTCTACATTCAGGGCAGCCACTTACTTTCTTAAAAGGACTATGAAAGCCTTGTTACATGCAGGAATTGCATCAGCGCTCTCCCCTTGACAACTAAAATTGCCTGGCATTATAATTAGTGAAATAATAGAGCAGGGCATATTAGGGCACTTAATGTAAAGTAACATGTTTCTGTAACAGCTAATTTCTTTCTAGAATTTATTTTATGAGAGTCGTGGCTGCAATATTTCATAGAATTTGTGATCATCAGTAATTTTTGAAATAATTCTTTATTGCAGAATTCAAAGAATTTTAAAAGCAAGAAAACAGAAAGAATGTCAGAAAAAACAGAAACCTTTTGAAAATAGAAGTCACTTGGCAAATGTTAGGTAAATTTGCTCAGGAAATACCAAACTATAACTTTTTGTAACAGATCTGTACAAGAAGCATTCATACTCAAGAATGCCACTATATTTATGAACAGCAAAGCGAAACTAAAAGTTTGAGATAGCAGGGGTTTGAGCTAACCAAATAATTATCAAGTTCCTAGTGTTGTGCGCCCCACATGTACTGTTTAGGCCACATAAAATAAATTCCTTGATTCTCATCACCGCCCGACTGTATTTTAAGAGCCGCATGAAATTTTTTAATATTTTGTTATACAATATAAATGAACCGCCTGACAAAATATTTCAAGACAGTATGGTTTTTTATATTTAAAATTGGGTTTTTAGTGCCATTTTAAACTGCCAATTTCAAACAAATAGAAACTTGAAAGAAATTTCATTGCATTTTAACGGAACTTCGCATTCAGTTGAAGGGTTCAGTCATTGTTCGTGGAGAAATATGTTCATTTCAGTTTGTGACACTTCACTTTGGAAATCACAGAAATATTGAATGTTAAGAATTATTTTTTTATTTATTGATGATAAATTATATAAATATAAAATATAAACCTCCCGGCTCTTCGACATTTTCAAGGTGTAGTGATGAGAATCAAGGAATTTATTTTATGTGGCCTTATATGCATCTTTAGAACTTGGCAATAAGTCTCATATTTGTAGTGTATAAGAATATGCATGTTTATATTGTGTATAAAAAAGTGCAACATAGATAATTGAAATCACTGTTTTCCCGTTAATCCCAGCAACATTGCTGATGGGATTTTTAAAAGTTTAAATTAAGTCTTTATTATTATTAAGCCAGAACAGTAATCAAAGCAGTTTGACCAGATTTGGTAAAAGTTTTATTTTTGGTGAAACTTCATGTATTTTCAAGAAAATTCGGTAATGAGGTTTTTTTGGTAAATTAAAAATCTTAAAGGTTTTAATAGTTATTAATAATCATTTTGGTAGAAAATTGTGTTTCTTGTTTATTAATTAACATGCTCAAAATGATGAACAAAACTGCCAAGCCTAAGAAATAAAGCCCTATCACCTGCAATACAATGAAAGCAACAAGTATCTCATGAGAATAATTCTGATACTCATTAAACATGACAATAATTCTGATATTCTCATAAATTATTTCCTTTGACTTGGTAAAAATATTTCTACATTGAGGGCAGCCACATACTTTCTTAAAAGGACTATGAAAGCCTTGTTACATTCAAATCAAGAAAAATACATGCTTCTGGAAAGTATATCACCTTGCCAAAGAGCCTGGTTTTCATGATTGAGAGTTTGAGCTTTTAACTTTTTTTATGGCAGTGAAATTTGGGCACCCCAAACAACATCTAGGGACCTTCTTTGTCTTGAAAGTGTCCAAAGACGAGCGACCAAGTATATCCTTCAAGACTTCAACTCATCTTGCACCAACCGTTTAAAGAAACTTAACCTACTGCCTATTTCATACTGGTTCGAAATAAAAGATGTTACATTTTTTTATAAATGCAAAGCTGGTTATTATGACTTAACACTTGAAGACTATATTCTAGACAATTCTACTAATCACTTTAACTCTACTGATTCATGCCGACCAAACCATTGCAGAACATCTTCTTTCCGAAACCTATTTTTCAATAGGATAGTGCCACTTTGGAACCGCCTGCCAGGAGAAATAAAATCCTCTCTAATCTGTATTCAGTCACTGAAACTTAAACTCTATAATCACTACACTCTAAAAGTTAATGCATGTTTTGATGTTAATAGGCCAAGGACTTGGAAAACGTTTTGCTCTAAATGTCGTTCTTGTTTTATGTCTTGTTGTTCGTAGAAGTGCATGTTCTGAGTTTTTGTACGAATGTAATTATGTGTAATACCGTAAATATGTAACTAGCTATGTATTTTGTTAATTTTATAACCGTTTATAGTATAGTATAGTATAGCATAGTATATATAGCGTAGTATTTTCATGTATGGCAGGACTTAATTTGGGACTTTATTAGTCCTGTTGTCTGTGCCTTCAATTTCTTATTGTAAAACTAATAAAAAAAACCCAAAAACTAATGTCCCATACACGCCAAACTTATATCCATCGTTCTTTTGTGCATATTTTTTCTACTTTGATGACATAACTATTGTTTTTTGGCATTATTATGACGTGATTATTTGGGAAGGATATAAATTTTCTTAATTTAGTAAAATTTGAAGAAAATTTCGGTAATGACTGCTGAAAAAATCTGGTCACACTGATTATCAAAGTATGGCTGTATCAATGCTCGATACTGTATATATTGTTTCTGTTCTTTTAGAGTTGTACAGAAGAGTTTAGTCTTTATTGTTGGACTCTCAACTCGCCTGGCAAATGCAGAGGTATGGTAAATATACTTTATGATTTGAAGATGCACATAAGTGCTGCAGAAATGAAATGTTACCAATCAAAAACAATTTTTGTCTGAGTGTTTATCTAGATATAGGGCAAGTCACAATTAGGGTTGGGCGATATTAAAATAATCATCTCACGATTATTGTCAAGGAAATTATCACGATATTCGATAATATCATATCGCGATAAATGCAATAAAAACAATGACCATTTTTTCAATTTTAATTAATATCAAAGCATAGTAAGCTTATATATATAATCTTATTAAAAACAAGTAAAACAACAAATTAAAGTAATATGAAGGCTTTTTCTAGTCTAATATTTACTGTTCATAAACTACGACTGTCCATGCAGTCTATCTACTGTGTCCCCGTTGACATAAATGCTGTGGGCACACAGCACAAGCAAGGCCTGCAATTTTTCATTGTTCAGCGGATTAATACATAAATATTAGCTTTTGTATCGTATTAAATTCGTATTTAATTCAGGAAATAGTTGTAATTCTTTTAAAAACTATATTTTCTAGGAATTGAAATAATTTTTTAGGATTTTATAAAAGCTATATACACATGCGAAGCAATATCACGATAGTCATCGAGCATGACGATAATTTCGATATATCGTCGCTTAAGTTTCTACCTTCGATACGATAATCGCGATTGAAAATATCGCGATAAATCAAAATATCGAAATATCGCCCAACCCTAGTCACAATGGAATGGCTGGCGGCTAGTTAAAAACCAGCACATGTGGTGTCGTGTTCACCACGCTTGCCTTTCAAGCTGGGAGACCTGGGTTCAATCCTTGGTTGGACCTCTACTGAAGGTCTTAAAATAATTGAGGAGAAAGAGCTACCTTTACATTGACATCAGTAAATGGTTGGACTTTCACGTCTTCTCGGATAAGGATGTTAAATCGTAGGTACCTCGGATCCCCTACCAATTGCGCAATAGCCTATCGGGAAATCCGCCCACCAATGAATGAGAAACTGAATAAACTAAACCAATAAATTAATGTCCCACATGCCTATAAAGGACATACACTATATATGGCCAAGCCTGAATTAGTATAATCAGAACAATTTCATTTCAATTATCAAACACTACTGTGAACCAGCGAAGGAAATTGAATTATTATATAGTTGTCACAGTAATCTTCACAAAATTAAGTAATAAACAAACTTTATATGAACTTGTGGTTAGAGCTCGACAACTGGACTCTGTAGCTCAGTTGGTTAGAGCGCTGCACCGGAATCGCAGGGCCGCAGCTTCAATTCCTGCCAGTGAGCCTAGAGTTGCATTTTTCAAAACTGCTCCTGGTTGGGTGTAAATGAAGGTACAAAATTTATAGTTTATTGTATATTTCCACAGCTTCTATCTTCACAAGAATATTTTGGGAAGTTTGGAAAAATTCATAAAATTGCAATCAATTCCAGCACAAATTACGCTGGCCCACAGGTAACTTTGTTATTTAGTAAATCAATGTACAGTTAAATTTGCAGGGTGCGATAAATCGCGTAACCAAGTACCACGTAGGTACGCGGTAATCTCGCTATCTGCGTACTTGTATTTTGCTGGTACCATAGGACCTTACCAATCCTAAGGTATTCAAAACCGTATACGTAAAGGTATATAGGTACGTCTGACATGTCTTGTCATGAGACATGACTGGGCTAATGGAATGTTGGAGCCAATTCTAGTGTTTTGTGTATGTAATAGACAATTCCCATTATAGACTAATTATATTCTCGGAAAGAGCATACTAAAATGAGTAAAATTGCAAAGTCTGGTTGCGAAATGTTGTAAAATGCGGAAAATATAGCCTTGCAAAGTTCGCAAATTTAGTAGACTTTTGTATTGCATGCGGAAATTGCTACCACATCTGGGCCGAAAATGGGTTTTTTTCCGCACGCGATACAAAAGTATGCAAACTTTGCAAGGCTATATTTTCCGTGTTTTACAACATTTCGCGACCAAACTTTGCAATTTTGCTCATTTTAGTATGCTCTTTCTAGCTGTGGTGTAGACTGGTGATTTATTTGCATCTCCTTGCCTAGTTTTAAAATTAGTTCTAACTTGTAGTTTCAGATTACTGAATGAATCCCTTTCAGAAACCTGTACTTTATGTACATCATTTCAAAGACTAAGTACACCTTGATTCTTAAGTGGGTACCAGCTCAAGTACGAGGCAATAGTCTAATGAGTACCAGTCAGGAACGACTAAAAATCGCGAAGTATTACTGTCGTTCCAATTGAAGTGTTGCTCAAATATTGATTCAATACATTACCTCGGGCTGACCAATTCATTTGATCAAGTTCCTCGAGATATTCATACACTTCCTGTGAAAGAGCCAATTCCAAGTATTTGATCATTTCTGGTCACTTCCTTTCTATTTATGATTGGTTAGTTGCACAAACAACAAAGGTGATTGGTGCATTCAAACTATTCAACAGGAAGTTTACAATTATACTAAATTATACTAGGAAGTGTGTGAATATCTCGAGGAACTTGATGAAATGAATTGGTCAGCCTGAGGTAATGTATTGAATCAATATTTGAGCAACACTTCAATTGGAACAACAGTAATGGGCCATTTCATTTAATATCAACACCCCCTGTTGACAAGATTTTCCGAAGGGGGTCTGAATAATTTACCGAAAATTTCTGAGGGGGTCTATCGTAATGGAACCACGTCAACAGGTATTTCTGAGAGGCTTGAGAAAAATTGTAAATTTCGAGGGGGTTCTAAAAAAAAATATAGCGGATTTCTGAGGGGGTCCGGAAAACCATTTCCAAAGGGATCTAAAATCAGTAACCTAGTCAACAGGGGGGGGGGTTAAATGGAATGGTCCAATAACAACCTTTGCAAAATATTGATCACTCTGACCCCTCATTATGTCATGTTAGTTACACTATTGTGGATCAGTACAAAATAAATATAAGTCTATAGTGTTCAGAATTATAATCATATGTTGGAACATCATGGCCGAGTTGAATATTTAATGTTAAACTTCGTATAGATGCTGCTTGCTTCAACACGAACAACACTGCCAGAAAAATGACTGCACAAAGTGCATTTTGCTCCTTCAATCAGGGGCGTAGGAAGCACCTGGAGTTTGGGGGGGCACCGGCTTGTAGGGGCACATTACTATCGGAAAGGGCACCTAAAAAATTTTTCCCGGAAATGTTGTCGACGGGG